AGTCTAGCCAAATTGTTGAGCTCCAGGCCAATGAGAGACCCTGTCTCAAAGGAGGTGAACAGCATTCCTAAGGATGACACTCGAGTTTGTTCTCTGGTGTTCATATACACATGTGGATACATATGCGCACACACACATAGATACGTGTCTGTACACACATACGTACACATGCATTCACACATATTATACATTTACATATTTGCATATAAAATAGAAAAAATAGATACAGATTGAGCCACTTTTCTGGCCATTCCCCTTCCACACTTTAGCCTATGTAGTACCCCTTAACTCCTCAAGTGGAATACACACACAGAAGCATGCATGTATGCACATACACATTACATATGCATACACATATTATACATGCATACACTTGCAGCTGGAGCTCAGTCAACAGGGGAGGGGTAGAGTAGGCTTTCTGTGCAGAGCTGGCATGCTGGGGTTTGGTGTCTTAAGAAGAATAGCAGCTATCAGCCTCTCTCGTATGATAGTTACACCAAGCAAAACCCTTGGGGAGCTGATTGGTGTGACTCCTGTCTGTGTCACACCCCTATAAATTGAAGATCATAATTAATGTACTCTAATAATTATATACTCAATATTTTATGGTAAACACTAATGTGTTAGCCAATTTTTTTAAATAATAAAGCCAATAGAATAGATGGATGGATGATGGATAGATGGATGGATGACACATGGATAGATAGATAGATAGATAAGTAGGTAGATAGATGATGGTGGATAGATGGATAGATGGATGGTAGGTAGGTCAGTAGGTAGGTAGGTGGGAGATACAGAGACAGAATCAACAACAAAATATGAATGAACCCAGTTCCAACCCAAGCTCCCAGTGGATGAGCTTGCTTTCTTTCCTTTACTAGGTATTCTTTATCCTCCTAGATTTTAATTCCTCTCTTAACCCTCCCTATAGGATCAGTCCAGGTGGGTTCAAGATAAACACAGTCCTGACTCCTGTAAAGGCTGCTTCCCACCCTCTCACCTACCCTGTCCTACCATTTTCTTCATTATCAGAGCAAAACCAGGTCCTTGCACTCCGAGGAATGGATGCTCTCCTCCTGTCCCTGCTAAGTGCCTGGGGACCACTGTGCACACACTTCTCAGCAGCATCTTAAGCAGACACCACAAACCTGTGAGCAGGATTCATTAGCTCTGCTACAGGTCCTGACAGTTACCCTCCTCACCACTCCTGTATCGAAGAGGCACCCACAGGCTCTGGCAGACAAAAGAGAGAGAACCAGCAGCCTCCCCTGCTACCCTGTGAGGCTGCAGTGACCACGTGGAATACATCAAAGTGGACTCCTGTCTCTGCAAGCACGAACTGGAGCCTGAAGGACGCACTTCAGACCTGGCTGTGCTGCCTCTTCTCACAGCACAGTTTAGCAAATGTTTTCCATACTGTTCAGGGAAGTGAGGACCTACAGAGATTTGGTAATTGGCATCCAAAGTCTGTTGCACCCTGACGCTCTAATTGCTTAAAGATTCGTTTCTTATCCAAAGACCAGGGGCTTCAGGCTCTTGTAAATGAAAGGCCACCAACAGATCTGAAACTTTCTCATGACCTTGGCTAGGAGACTGTTGGTGGAGAAAAGGAGATAGGGCAGGTGACAAGACATGAGGACCCATTTCAATGCTATCACAGCCTACATCAGCCTGCAAGGAAGAATGGACCATTCTAGAAATTCCCTAGTAACAATGAGAAATGAGACCCCCCCCCACTCTGCTAAAAAGCATAAAGCCAGTGAGCTTAGCATGGTCCTCACAATACTCAGCCCTTCCTCTCTGTTTGCCATGCTTTAAGACAAAACAAAACAAAAAAAAAAAGCATTGCTTCAGGGTTTGAGAGATGGCTCAGTGGTTAGGAGCACCACATGCTGCCCTTGCAGAGGACCCAGATTAGGTTGCCAGCACTCACATAGTAGTTCACTCCCACCTGTAATTCCAGCTCCATGAGATTCATCAGCTGTCTCTAGCCTCAGTGGACACTCCACACACAGTACACTTCCATACATGTAGGCAAAATACTCATACACATAAAATTAAAGCTAATAAACAATTTTCATGTTTGTTGATTCAGTAAAAGGAAAGGTTATTTGGCCACTTCAGGTTGGAAATTAAGAAGCTTTTTATATTTGATAAAATAAAGTTTAAAAGTCTAGTATGTGTGTGTATGTGAGTGAATGTGTGTGTGTGTGTGTGTGTGTGTGTGAGAGAGAGAGAGAGAGAGAGAGAGAGAGAGAGAATATATGTGTGTGTATCTACACGTACATGATGTGGTATGGTTGTGTGTGATGTCAGGGGGAATGTGGTGTCTCTGGAGAATCTGTGTTTTCTGAGTGTGGACTTTGGGCTGTGTGGTCAGTACTTCATTTCTGAGGGAAGAACTCTGGTTTGTATGGAACATGTGAGTTATACACAATATAAGTTATATGTACTGAAGAACTGTATGCATGTGAGACTTGGGTGCTTATCTTGGGTTATATGGGTGAGTTATAAGTTATGGGATATTGTATATGGATTATGGGTTGTGTATATGTTGCAGATTGTGGTGTGTTTGTTGCATATGTGCAGATACGTTTTTCAGTCATGTGGGAAGGGTTGTGCGTACGGAGAGCTATGTGATGTAAATGTGTGTTGTGAATTTTCTGTGCCGTAGATTATACAAATGTGTCTCTGATGGGTGTATGTGATGTGGACTACTAGTAATAACTAAAGAATTGGTGGAGGGCCAGGGGGATAGTTCTGTGGATAAAAGCTCTTGCCAAGCAAGCCTAACAACCTGAGTTTCATCCCCTGACTGTGCAGAAAGGTGGATGTGGTACACTACAAGCCAGGAATTCCAGGGCTTCTACGCTGAGGCAGGAGGTGAACACAGGAGAACCATCTGGAAGCTTATGAGTCAGCTAGCCTAGATTATGAGGCAAAGCAGCAGAAATAATGAGAAAGACCTACCTCCAAAAGGTGGAAGGCCAAAACTTACTCCTGACCTCTGGTGGCCACAGGAGCGCTATGACACTTGGGTGCCTGCACTCACATACACATGTACACCTCCAATGTTTTTGCCATGTCTCAACAGCCCATTACATCATAAACCTATGAAGGGACTCATCTGTTGATGAGGTCAGAGTCCTTGCATTCCAATCATCTCCCAGAAGTCCTACATCTAAAAATTGCTGCACTGGGGACCAAGCCTTCAACACAGGAGCCTTTGGGGGACACTGAGGATCCAAACCATAATAGTTACCCGTGTGAAAAAGGCTCCTTTCAAGGAAGAGCATATGCACACCTGCTCAGCACAGGGGTGGGGGATGTTCAAGACAGGGTTTCTCTGTGTAGTCCTGGCTGTCCTGGAACTCACTCTAGACCAGGCTGGCCTCAAACCTAGAGATCCACCTGCCTCTGCCTCCCGAGTGCTGGGATCGAAAGCTGCACCACCACCACCACCAGGTCTAGAGCTTTCAATGATTCACCAGAGGCCACACAGGTCTAGTACAAGCGCCTGATTCATGGCCCTCATCTAAGTGTTTCTGAGTTGACCTTCTTACAGAAGTGACCTCCTCACAGGCATTTGTCCAAACCATCCATGATCAGAACCTGCAGCTGACACAAACATTTGTTTAAAACTGCCATTTTTGTAAAAGAGGGACGTGAATTGGCGGGGGGGGGGGGGGGGGGGGGGGGGGGGGGGAGCAGTCAAGCTGGGGGGCGGGGCAGGCATGCATGTGAAGACCAGAAGTTGACAACTGCAGTCTTCCTTTATCACTCTCCACCACGTTTTTTGAAGCAGGTTTTCTCACTGAACCTGAAGTTCATTGATTCAGCTAGCCTAACTAGCCAGCAAGCCCAAAGGATCATCTTGCCCTCAGGTCATCAGTGCTAGGGTTTTATTACTAGGATTGAACATGGGTCCTTCCTCGTGCCCTGCAGCTAGCATTTCATTGAGTTGTTCCCCCAACCTATAGCTGCCATTTATGGGTGAACATACTCACTTTTGCTCAGGCCCCTCTCTCTCAAAAATAAAAAAAGACCAGACCCACATCCTGCTCTGGTACAGGAGCAATGGCCCTGTCTCATCTGCGAGGTAGGCCCTCTGAGGAGAACCAGCTTGCAGAAACATGTGTCTAAGCCATTAGATGCTTCTGGTCCTGCTGTAGCACGGCTCTCCTGGGAGGTGTTGCTGCCGTCAAGTGAGTGAGGCCACTACATCTATCAGTCTCTAAGCGTGATGGACAGCATGGCCTGCCTCACTGAGGGGACTTGGAAATGTCTTTGTGTCGGTCCTGCCCATCAGTGAGACAGAAAGGACAGCAGGGCAGCTAGGAGGAGGGAGCAAAGTTTGTACACCTTGGAAGAAAAAGAAACTATGCAGATGAGGAGTTTCTAAAAGAACAGGATGGAAAGGGCCTTACTCCATACTGCAGCCAGGATCCTGGCCTTCCTTCAACAAGCCTGTGTAATGCCAAGAGGCTCTGCATGGCCAAAATACAGAGTGAAGTGCCAGCCCAGGCACATACTCCTGTATGCATGCATTCTTGTGAAAGCTCCTTAATCACTATGTCTTAGTTTCCTCCCTTATATATTAAGGCTGATAATATCAACTTCCTAGCATTGCTGGGAGACTTAGATAAGACCGTACCATAGTTTGGATCTGAAATGTCCCCCTAAGGCTCACACAGTGAAGACTTTGTCCCCAGTGCAGCAATGCTCAGAAATAGGACTTTTGAAATGTGATGGGATTATGACAGCTCTGACGGATCAGTCATTGATGGGTTATTAGGGGGCAGTAAAATCTTAGGAGGAAGGGCCTGGAGGTCTCCTTAGGTAATCAATCCCTGGGGGATGTATCATGTCCCCAGCCTCTTCCTCGACCCTCACTTGTCTTCCTGGCCACAACAAAGCAAGCAGCTCTGCTCTACCACACACCACCCTCCCATGATGCTCCCCTCCCCACAGTCCCAGAAACAGCAGAGCCAAGTACCATGGGCTGAAATCTCTGAAACCCTGAGCCGAAATAGGCCTTTCCTCTTTTTCAGTGTTTTCCTCTCGTGTTTTGTCATGGCAATTGAAAGCTGGCAGACACAGAAAATAGGCAAAATCCCACTAATGGTGTTACACATCACTTACCACTCTTGCTGTAACAATAACATTTAAACAGAACTTTTCTACTAGGGTACCATAAATGTTGTCTTCTTTATTCCCCAACAATCCAGTGTGCAGGTCATCAATTCATTCCCATTTACAGATTAGGAAACTGAGTCAAAAAGGTTCCATGACATTAATGAATTTTAGTACTTGAAGGGGTAATGCTGAGGGGGGACCCTGAGCAGATCTGACTCCAGAGCCCAAGCTCTGAACCCTTCTCCCATCTTTCCTAAGTATAAGAAAAAGAGAGTGCCCACCGTGTTTACAAAGAAGCCTTAGCTCCATCATGTCAATCATTTATTTATGCTTTTTCTCTCCCTTTGGGTGGTTTGAAGCATTGTGTCTCTGGCTGACCTGAAATTCCCTATGTAGTCCAGAATAGCCTTGAGTTCCTGGCAATCCTCCTGCATCAGCCTTCCCAGTGCTGAGATTGCAGACATGAGCCATGTACCAAGCTACACAACATTTTAAGAACATAGAGCTCTAGTGGTGTTTTTACAGCTCTTCCTTTAAAACCTAATACATGAGAATAATGATGCTATGTGGCTATGGGTTTCAGTGTGGGTCCCAGGCCAGCAGCAGCAGAAGCAGCAGCAGTAGCAGCAGCAGAAGCCCTGACAGCTCCATGGAACTAAAATACCTGAGGCAAGCTACCTGTGAAGAAAACGAAGTTGAATGCTGAAAGTCCAAAGGGCAAGACACAAACTCAGAGAGACCAACTCTCAGCTGTATCCCTTCCCAGCAGACAGAAAGAGTGGGTATCTGCATAGGTGCAAGCAACTGATGATACCTCCCAAGGGAGGGAGGATGGGAGGAGTCCTGCTTGCTCCTTCTACAGGAACTGTCTCACACAGGAACTCAGGGAGTCTCCCAAAAATGTCCTCATTCTCCAATAGCCTATCTTCTGCCCACTGGGGCCTGATTCTTTAAGGCTTACCACCTCCCAATGGAGCCCCCCCTAGGGGGGGTGGCCTTAAACATAAACAATTAGCTCATACCCAAAATATAGCCATACCCAAAATAAAGCCACAGCCAAAATATGGTCTGTGTTGTAATGCACCTATGGGGTACAAGCCGAAATCTCACAATGACTAGAAACTTGAGTAAAATCAAGTAATTTGTGTTTTCAGATCTTCCAGCTATTGTTGACAGATGGCACAGCTTGAGCACTATTGCCTCAGTGGAGAGCATCTTCACTCTGCATTAGTCACGAAACATGGAGGAAACATTTATGAAGATGCTGGTTCAGTTGGGAGGTGGCACCCCTCCCCGCTTCTCCGGGATACAAACAGCAGCAGGCTCTCCCAGGTGAAAAGTCAGCTTTGACCAGTACACTCATGCCCTGGGGCTGCTCCCTGCAACACAAAAAGAGGACCTGTAAGGGACCAGTCTGCTAACCCGGAAAATCACAAGGAGGGAGACTGACCATTCTCCATGACTTTCCATCAACCTCAGCTGTGTTGGACATTTGGGATTTGGAAACCTTAGCAGATCTGGGGGTGTTGGTCTCCCCTTTTCCTCACAAACACTGCAACTGTAGAGTATGTGCCATGATGTCAGCCCTGGTTAAAAGCACAGTGAAGGGTGTGCACTGTGCAAAGACAGAAGCCTCCCACCCATTTCTGCACAGCCCTGGCTTTCATTAGAGAAGCCACCACTTATAAATAAAACAAAAGTCCATTTTCAGGAAATGTAACGGTGTTCACCGAGTGCTTGTTAGATGGCTATTTCATTCTATTTTACATAATTTGGGGAAGTGCATGTGATTAGGCTCTTTTTATAGGCAAGGACATCAGGCTTTGACAGGCTGAGCCGATATGCCAAGCTGCAGCCGGTAAGTTCAAAGCCAAGGTTTAAAAATAATTTCTGACCCACTCCAAAGTAATACTTCCCAACCTCAACTACAAGTAAGAGTCAGATAGAAAGACGCAAGAAAATGCTGCTGTCTGAGCCGAGCCCAAGTAAGTCTACCTTGTCAAATGCGGGGTCTGTGCATCTGTGCCTCTAACATGTTCCCAATGAGGACAGCAAACAGCCAAGGCAGGAGTCATGCTTTCCCTCATTTGTAGACTATATATCTGACATGGAATCAGCAGGTGGACTATTCTGGAAGAGGAAGAGGTTGGGGAGAGGGATGAGGAGGGGGATGGAGTTAAATATGAGCAAAGTACAATAACACACGCATGAAAACGTCAAAAAGAATTCCGTTATTTTGTGTTCTAAACGTTAACAACAAGGAAGCATCTTACACACAACAATTCTCAGCGCTAACAAGCATTTAGAGCAGCGACCAATTGTCTCTCCTTTGCCCCCATCGCTCCCCTCCCCCCACTCCTCCCCTTCTCTGTGTCTCTCTTCTCCCTCCCGCTCTTCTTTCCTTTTTTTCCCTCTCTCCTCTCTCTTCTCTCTCTCTTCCCCATCCCCATCCCTTCTCTCTGCCCTCCCTCATCTCTCCTTCCCCTTCTCTTCCTCTATGTCTCCATTCTTTCCTCTCTCTCTCCCTCTATTCTCAATGCCTTCTCTCTCTCTCTCAACACCCCTTCTCCCCTCCCCTCACTGTTTCTTTCTCTCTTCTCTCTCCTCCCCCTCTTTCTTCCCTCTCTCTTTCTCTCTCATCATCTCCCTCTTCCCTGCCTGCTTCTCCCAGCCTCCATGAAGCGGGCAGCTTTGATCTACCAGCATGTGCACTTAATGCCTCACTGTGGCCCAGAGACAACAGACCCCAAGTGCCCTACGGGCTGGCACTTCTGAAACCACGAACCAGAGCTCTTCCCCCATTGCGGTTATCTTGGACATTTTGCCATGAAAAAGGAAAGCTGAGTGACACAAGAAGCCGCACTGTTCTGCCCACGTCCCCTTTACCCTGGCTGAACCTGAACCTGCCTGGAGTGGCCTTCCTTGTCACCTCCACCTACCCAGATCTTCCCAAGTCTAGCTTATCTCCTTCACTCAGGGAAGTGTGCTGCCTTTTCCTTCCCCCTAACCTATGAAGCACTCGGTGATCCCAGCTACTAGCCCTCACGTGTACCTGGCTAGGCTACCTCTGAGTTTCATGGTGTACCCACACTGACGGCCTCCACAGCAGACGGCAAACTCTGTGAGGCCAGATCCCTCCACTTATATTCTTAGTACCCTACACACTGTTGGAACCTGGGACAGAGATATAAAATATGTCCTTTTCAACAAATGCCAAATAAATGTCTGGGAGAGGGGATCTGCTGGGCAGTCAGCAGAAGGTCTCCCCTGGGCTCTGGTTCTCCACATCTACTCAGAAACGACAATGTGGTTTTCCAGGTGATCTGCATACAGATGACTATCGAGCACAATGCAGGTGCTGCCTTTTCACCAGCGAGACCAATTAAGAGTTCCACATTTTCAAAGCAGACTGTTTAAGAAATGCCTGTGAGGACAATTAAAAGCACAAAACACGGGTCGATGGAACTGGAAGCTATCAAAGGCTGCTGAAAGAAGCTGAGTGGCCACATGAGAGGCGACAGGGCTCGGGGATCAGAAGCCAAGAGCCACCAGCCTGCTCCCTGCAGAGGCTATGGCAGCCACAACACCCAGGCACGGGGGCGGGGGATATGAATTCTCTCCACAAAAGCTTCTTAGATTGTAAAATAGAAATAGTAATAGCACATGCCTTCGTGGGGTAGTTGTTAAGATTGAACGTATTAATATATGTAAAGTAATTAAAACACTGCCTTGCGCTTAAGCACTCGATGGCTGTTGGTTGCTATGATTATAATGATTATTAATATAGTGTTATGTGTACTCAGAGATAGCAGGAGAATTTTCTACCTTTTTTTTTCAGCATCCTGGTGACTCCAGCACTGCAAAGGAACTTCATGATGTTTGTTGAATGACTGAATTAAATGGCAAACTTATCTGACAACAAATTTTGACCTGCATCAGCCTGCCGACCTGCTGCCCAAGTGCACTGGGCTGCACCTGGCACCCCATAAGCAAAGTCTCAGGGACCCTTATATTCCCACCAAGAATGGACAAGATCAGGGTTCCCCTCCTGGCCCATCACTCGGTCTCTCCTGGCCATATCTACATTCTCCATATTGGATCCTCCTCTGCGTCTTGTGCAGTCACCTTTGAATGCGATGCTTTGGGCCATTCCCTCCATCCTGCTCTTGCCTTCCTGCACTGTTTCTTTCTCCTGCACTTGGCATGTGATGGCTGCTGGTCAGCCTACACTCCTGACTTACCCTGCTTGGCTCCTAGAACCCAGCACCCTCATTCTGATGCTCTCCAATCTCCCAAGGCACAGGACCCAAAAATGCCCCCATCACAAGCTTTTCCCTGGTTCCAAGTGAGGACTTAGTCTTACAGAGCTGACTTTAAATCCTGATACTCAGTGTCGTCTTAATTGTAACTCTGGATCACTTCCTAGTCTTTTTTACCTCAGTTTCCTGGCCTGAAAAGTGGGTTCACTCTATCTACTCATTGATATAAAGTGTAAATGCCTGGAACATGCTCGGCAGGTGAAAAACCTGGTTCAATGTGGCTTCCTGCTTGGCTTAGTATTTTACAGTATGGCAGAATCACTAGTGCCCCCATAAAAACACTAGATGAGCCATTTGGCCAGGCAGGACCCAGTGATTAAAACCCCCAGCATCGAACCTATTTCTCCAAAAGAGAGCAGACTGTTGTAATAAAGCTGAGTTGTGGGGATACTGAAGAAAGCTGTTTGCAGCAGCCTTAGAGAACAAAATGAAGGGCACATCCTTAGAGACCGGGCACAGGTTATCAAGAGGATTAAAGTCAGGGTTGGCAGCCAGAGAGCCAGGGTGACTCATCAGTGTGAAATAGCATGTCCCCATTGAGCAGCCAGCAATGAAAATAGGAGGTGACATTCTGGGAGAGGATGGGAAATCCAGTGGTCCCCAAGTACTGAACCACAATGGTCTGAAAAGATGGTTACATCAGAGGTTTGGGTTCCTTGACACACAGAGGGAATAATCCCTAGAGTTTCTAATCCAGTAATGCAGGGATTCATTACCAAGTGTGTGCATGCATACATTATATTCCTGTGTACACGTGTGTGCATGAGTACATGTGTGAGAATATGGGTGCTTGTGTGCGTGCATGTGGAAGGCAGGGGTCAATCTCAAGTGTCGTTTCTCAGGAGGTCACCCACAATGTTTTTGGAGATAGGGTCTCTCACTTGCCTGGAGCCTATCCGTTAGGCTAGGCTGGGGGGGGGGGGGGCGGGGGCAGTAAACCCTGTAGCCTCCGGTTTCCATCTTCCCAGCACAAGGAATGTGCACCACCACACCAGGCTTCTATTTTTCACATGGGTTCTTGGGATCAAGCAAAGACCCTCATGCTTCCACAGCAAGCATTTAGTGACTGAGCCATCTCCCGGGCCACCATTACCATTTTGTTTTAAACAATCTCAGGCCATGATGCTGAAGACAGCCAATTTCAGAGGGGCTGAGCTAAAACAGAGGGATGATTTTGTAGCTAGGTTGGGTATAAACAAGCCAGACCAGGCCATGCACCACACAGTGTCTCAGCAACAGATTGCGCATGTTGGTGGACCTGTGAGACCATACTCCTATCTCTGATGACATGGTAGCCACCATAATGTCATTATGTAATCCCCATGCCCGTGTTCATGGTGGTGTCATGTAAACAAACCCACTGCACTCCCAATCACAGAAGCACCAGTGTGGTGATATTGTGTTCCCCAATATATTGTGTACCCTATTTAACTTACCTGGGGTCAAAGAACAGAACAGTCACTAGCGGCCAGAAAATAGTTTCACACACACCTTTAATTCTAGCATTCTGGAGGCAGAGATCTGGATGGATCTCTGAGTTCAAAGCCACACTGGAAACAGCCAGGCATAGTGACACACACCTTTAATCCCAGGAAGTGATGTCAGGAAGCAGAAATGTATACAAGGCGTGAGGACCAGGAACTAGAGCCTCTGTTAAGCTTTTAGGCTTTTGAGCAGCAGTTCAGCTGAGAGCCATTCGGATGAGAACTCAGAGGCTTCCAGTTTGAGGAAATGAGATCAGCTGAGGAACTGGCAAGGTGAGGTTAGCTGTGGCTGGTTCTGTTTCTCTGATCTTTCAGCGCTGACCCCAATACCTGGCTCTGGGTTTGTTTTTATTAATAAGATGCTTTAAGGTCTGTGCTACAACCCAGAGCTAAGAAAATGGCTCCATCTTCAAAGTGCTTGCCTCGCGAGTAGGAGAACCTGAGTTTGCTCCCCAGAGCCCATGTTAAAAATCAGGCATGGTGACATGCAATTGCGATCCCAGTGCTGGCATGGCAGAGAAAGGTGGATCTCTGAGGCTTGCTGGCCAGCCAACCCCATGTTACAGTGGGAAATTCAGTCTCAAAACATACACACCACACACCACACACCACACACCACACACATTTACAAGGAGATAATGGGTCTTTAGCGATAGCTCAGTAGTTAAAAGCATTGACTGTTCTTGCAAAGGACCCAGGTTAAATCCTCAGCACCCACATAACAGTTCGCAACCATCTGTAACTCCAGACACCCTCTTTTGGCCTCTGAGGGCAGTGCACACACATAGTGCATAGACATATGCAGATAAAATACCCATACACATAAAATTATTTTAATGAACAAAAGCAGAGCACACATAACTACATTTAATGTACAGTATCTGATAATGGTAAAACAGCTCTTGCTGTTTAGGTGGCTACTGTGTTTCATTTTTATCATTTGCTGCACTCTTACTACTTACAAAAAGTTCCTGTAAAAAGTTCTGAATTAAACCAACAACTACCTGTTTGTGTCTCAAGTTCACTGCATCTGTCTATATACATCATTTTCTCTGGTGCTTTGTTTGATTTCATGCTGTGTCCTGCTTCTTGGCACTAGGAGGAAGAGACTAGACCACATCATTTAAGTGTGCAGTGGACTATCCCATCTAGGATTATAGAAGTATGTGTCCACGGTGGCAGAATTTCTGCAGTACATTCCTCAGAACATAATTCCATCACTAAGGGACACATGACAGTATCTGGACATGTCCATTTAGAAGAGTAGCAGTTGTCCACATACCCACTGTATTTCTAGTAAGCAAGAAATAAGTCACATTCTTTGTCTAGCTTGTGGTTGACATTAGTCAGAAAGCCCAGCAGTCAATCATTAATTCATTCTTTCACTCAGAAGCAAAGCACCAATAGCCCGGTGTGGTGGCACACGCCTGAGATCCCAGTACTTGGGAAGCAGAGACAGGAAGGGCATCTTCAGCTATGTAGTGAGTTCAAAGCCAGTCTCAGAAAACAACAAACAAAACCCCATCCCCGACTCTGTGACATAATCTGCCCTAATATATATATATATATATATATATATATATATATATATATATATATTTATAGGTTGTAAGTAAATAGAAAACAAGGGCTGAGGAGAGTTACAAAAGCATAAGAACTTGAACTCAGTCCCCAGCATACATGTAAAAAGCCTGACGTGGTGAGATACATTGCAAACCTCAGCACTGAAAGGCAGAGATGGGCAGATCCTGGGAGCTGGGTATCCAGTCAGCCTACCCCAAATAGTGAACTCCCCAGATCCAGTGTGAGAAGCTGTATCCAAAAAATAAGTTGCATAGCAGCAGAGGAAGATACCTCTGGCCTCCACACATGTGTGCATTATTGTGTTCACAAACACACAGAGAAGGATAGCATGCAACAACACACAGGGAAGCGAGAGAGGAGAGAGAGAAAGAGGGAGGGAGGAGGGAAGGGGGCAGACAGACTGACAGAACTAAGTTATGGAAGCAGCATGGTGTGCTGTTGCATATCTGCAATCCCAGCATCAGAAGGCAGGACTGGAGGATGGAAAGTTTGAGACCTGGGCTATCTGTCAAGGTCCTGCCTCACAACACCACATAAAGAAAGCACAGGAAACCATAAGAAGCTAAGGAGGCAGCCACAGTATTGTTTCAGTCCATCCAGAGAGAGCCTTCCTTCTTCTTCCCTTAGCCCTGCTTGCATTCATGCCCTAACACTGTTCCCTGGGAGGTGAGAATTACTTCCTAAAGTTCAGAGGAAAGGTGGCATCTCCTGGGTCACAATCCACAGGCTGGAAAGAGACATTTGCAGGATTCTGATGCTGAGCATTGTCTTCTCTTTAATGCCAATGAGGTAGGAACAGCAGAGGAGTCCAAAAGGCAAGTCACCATAAGAGTGTCAGCTGTAATGTCTAAATTATTTCGCATTTACTGTGAGTGAACAATGATCTTAGTGCAGCATGTATTTAAACCAATAGACCTTTTCATTGGCTCCCAGAAGGAGCAGCAAATAGAACTATACCTTGGAGAGATAACTTCGTGGTAGTACCAGGGGCTTTAAAAGCACTCTGCCATTGGCAGTGTTCTTTCTGAGTCTGTCCTGTGGGACTGTCACAAAGGATTCTTTCACAGGGATGTGGAGCACTGGTTATAACGTCACAAGACACAGAAATGAACCAAGTGTCGGACAGTGGGGGTTCCTTAAATTATCTCTGTCCTTTCTGTATGATGGGAAAATGAGGTAACGTTACTGACTCAGGGACAATTCCAAATGTCACCATTCAGAAATGCAAGGTAGCTTTAAATTCTCTATCACAGACAAGTGTTAACTTTACAAAGAGAACTGACTGTATATCACATGAGCCAGAGTGTGGTGGTGCAGGCCTTTAACCCTATAACTTTAGAAGTAGAGACAAAAGGATGGCGCACTTAAGGCTGGTTTCTGTTAAATGTGAGACCATGTGGCAGGGTTCTGGGGAAGAGAAAGAGGAGGAGGAAAGGAGGGGCTGGGAAGAGGGTGAAAGTAATGGAAGGAGGAAGAGAAGAAGAGGAGAAGTGGAAGAAGAGAAGGGGAGGGAAGATGATAGGGAAGGAGAAGAGAGGAGATTGGAGGTGAGGAGGGAGGAGGGAGGGCAGGAGGAATAGTGAGATTAAGCAAGCATGGGTCCAGGCAAAGGATTTGCTTAGAACCTTTCAGCACATCTAAGAAGGCATGCATGATCAAGAAACAGCAAAGGGCAGGAAAAGTCAAGAGTGTGGTCAGTAAGGTATGCATCCTTGAGTAATTTTCCAAAATTTAAAAGGCAGATGGCTCTGTATTAGACTCACCACACTGCTGCAATAAAAGGGCTTCTGTATTAATTATTCATCTGTCACTGCAATAAAACACCTGACACAAGCAACTGAAGGAAGGGAGGGTTCTTTTGGCTCACAGTCTGCAGTCTGTTATGGTGAGGAAGTCACGGCAGCTGGAACAGGAGGGAGCTGGTCACATGGAATCTGTAGTCAGGAAGCAAAGACAGGTGGATGCTGCTATGGTGGAAAGATAAGCACTTCAGATATGGGTGGGTGGATGGATGGATGGATGGGTGGGTGGATGATAGAGAGAGATAGATGATAGATAGATGGATAGATAGATAGATAGATAGATAGATAGATAGATAGATAGATAGATAGATGATAAAATGAAAAAACTGCCTAGATCCAAAGATGAATAAGCAGCAGTAAAAAGACAGTATTGTAAATGAATTCAAATATCCAGGCCAAATGAATGAAATCTCAGAGTTCAAGTTAGTATCCATGGAGATGACCAATACTATGACACTTGAGAAAAGCTAGTTAGAGGTCACCAGGCTCAGGAGGAGCCACACATTGATATTTGAGAATCCAAGACAGGCATTGATTTCTGAGGGAGTTTTTAGCTGATATTTCTAAATTGTATAATGAAAAATGATGTATATTCACCACAAGCAAGGTAATATGAAATGGCTAAAGCACACTTTATTTCATGTGTTTATCACCTTCTGCAGAGAGACTGTGTAAAACCTTCCCTCAGAGATAGGGATATGGCTCAGTAGTAGGGCAGTTGCTTAGCATGTGTAAGGCCCTGAGTTCCATGCCAGCACCAGAAGGGAGAAGAATCTATGATCTTAGCAATCTTCAAGAACACAAGACATCTTTACTAACATGGTCACCACACTGATCTCTTGGGCTTGTCATCTGAGGAAATCATGGAACAAACTATAATGGATGCATAAAGTCTCCAAGATGGCAAACCAATAAGATTACCAGAAACTCACCAAGAGTAAACACAATGCACTAGGTAAGGTGAGGAGACTGGACCTCGGAGAAAAGATCATCTCAAAGCAGAACAGCTGGCAATTAGAAGACAATTTCTCAGGTGGGACAGGTGGGAAACATGCGCACGAATTAGCAGCCAATTCACTATCCACATCAAATGAATTGCATATGGCAGTCATTATGAAAAGCGTCTATGGATCTGTGCCCTGTATCAGAAGCCAGGCTGACTAGCAATATGAGTGAGTGTTTACTAGCCCCCTTTGGAGGCATCATACTGGTATTAGTTACTTTCCCATCACTGTGACCAAATGCCTAACACACAGCAACTCAATGGAGGAAGTTTATTTTGGCTCATGGGTCAGAGGAATGCTGTCCACCATGGCAGAGAAGGTATAGTAACAGGCATGATCTGAGGGGTCAGCAGAAAACAGAGAAGGGGAATGTCGGTACTCAGCCTTTGTCCATTTTTATTCAGTCTGGGAATCTCACCCATGAGAAGGTCCACCCACATCCAGGGCAATTCTTTCCTCATCAATAAAACCTTCTTGGAAATTCCTTCATAGATACACCCAGAGGTGTGTCTCGTAGGAGACTCTAAATGCAATCAGGTTGACAATGATTAACCATCATAAACCATCCCTTGTCAATTTGATAGCACATTACTTTAAATCACAAACTTCCATCTCTAGTGCCAAAGTGTATGGTCATCTTGTGGGGGAAAATGCATTTAGTTCATCTGTAAGATTCTCTAAAGTCCTAACAGTACTAACCTTGTTCAGAAACAAAGTTCAATGTCTTTCCCGAAGCTCAAGGCAATCTCTTACTGGGAATGTCTGTAAGATTAAAAAAAAGAACTTACATATTTCCAATATACAATGGCATAGAATTAACAGTTCTATTCTGAAATGGAGGAATGTCAGTATAGTAAGGAAATACCATACCAAAATAAGACAGAAACCCATCATGGAAACACCAAATTCTGCATCTCCATATCTAGCATCTGGGGCTGTGATGGGATCATCTGGACTTCAACAGGTTTTCATAACCCCACACCACCCCCAATTCAGTTGCCCGTGCAATTGTGACCTCTCCTTGGGCTAGTTCCACTCAACACCTAAAGCTTTCTTCAGCAAATGTCCTACCATTCTAGCATCTCCAACATCCCAAGGTCTCAGCTATAACTTAGGTTTCACCTTCATAGCTTCACTCAATGGCATCATTGTGAAACTCAGACACAAGCAGACAATGGCTTTCTGAACTTCAGTACAAGCCTCCACTCTCCAGAACTCTTGCATGAGCATGCCCAAAAAGTCAGAGCCACAAGGATAGTGCTATTTTATTCTGATTCCAATTCCAGATGTTGCCTGAACCCCACAGACAGTGGTCTCTGTATGCCTTTGAGGCTGAACCAGGGAAGATACTTTCCTTAATGGCCATTTTAAGGGAAGAGACACCTGAGGTAACATTCTCAATTAAGGGTATTTCCTTTCAGTGAATTTGCATTTTTACAAACTGGGTCCTTTGAGTTTATAATGAAGTTTTAAAGTTTTAAAGTTTATAATGAAGTTTTTAAAGGAGACTTGGTAGATATGTATTAATTAAAAATTGAGAACCACAACCTCAAAGAAATTATTGGTGACTATTTAGTATAAATCTTTCTATGATGCTTACTGAGAACATATAAGAAAATCATTTAATGTATAAAATATACATATAGAAGTAGTGAAATATACACCAATGTGCCCAGCAGGCTTGCCTCATCTCTGTGGCATGTGTGGTGTAACTGTAGGTACCTCAGAAACCTTGCTAATTATTCACTGTTTTAGTATGTTTTACATTGCTTATCATGGAATACATGAGTCTGGGTAATTTATAAAGAACAGAGATGTATTCCCTATAGTCCTTGAGCATGGAAACTCCAAAGTGAAGGCGCCAACATCCATCAATGACATTGCTACATCATCTCATGGTAAAAGGCGGGAGAGAAACAGAACACATGAAAGAGAAGGAAAGAGGCCAAATTCACGTCCTTACTTCTGTGGCAACACTGTAGGAGGGGAGGGGGCATGCCACTCTCCCATGATGGCAACACAAATCTCTCATGACCTAAAGGTCCCGCCTCTCAACACTGTTGCCCTGAGAACTGGGTTTTCAAATATGAACTTTGGGGAACACATTCAAGCCATAGCACTCGTTCAGCACTAACAAATGTTTAACCATCCACCATGTACCAGGTGCTCAGAATCCAGCTGTGGGTTGCCATGCCAATTCTGGGGATAAAACCTGGGTCACAAGGATGGTGTCTCTACCGTCACAAGGATGGTGTCTCTACCTTCACTCAAGCAATGTACTCACTGAACACCTCCCTGTGCCAGCCCATCTAGAGGCCGGGAGAAGGCACAGATGAGTGAGATGCAGCCTTGGTCTGAGGTGCTCACAGCAGAGTAAAAGACCAGCGGGGTCAGGAGTGGGAGCACAGAGACTCAACTGAGCTGAACAGGAGAAATGACTCTTCCACCTAACACATAAGTGCTAATATTCCGACCCAGCCTGCCTGACTGCAAGCTCTTTTCTCTCATGGACAGTACTTTGCTCATTTCTCTTACCTTCTCCATCTGTTTTTGAGATTTTACTTCTTTACCATGTGAGGCACTTCAATTACTAAAGTAATAATGCCGTGTCCTGTTAAACAGGTGGGTTGTCCTGAGATACCCAGTGCCTAAAATGAGATCCATTGGCATTGTACTGTGGTTTGAATGAGAATGACCCCTACAGGCTCATAGGTTAGATACTTGGCCCCCAGTTAGTGAAACTGTTTGGGAAGGATTAGGAGGTGTGGTCCTGTTGGGAAAAGTGTGTTACTAGGAGTGGGATTTGAGGTTTCAGGAGCTTTTGCCAGGCCCAGCCTCCCCCCGCCCATCTTCCTCCATCCCTCCCCCTCTCCCTTTGTCCCTCTGCTATTGCCTGCACATCAGGATGTAATCTCTTAGCTACTGCTCCATCACCATGTCTGCCTGCCTGTCGCCATTCTCTCCTCCATGATGGTCATGTGCTAAGCCTCTGAAACTGTAAGCCCTCAATTGAATGTTTTCTGTTATAAGATGTGGAACTATTTAAAATTGGAACCCCATCATTGCCAGCATGCTGTGGGACCTGGACCTCTGTTGTTTTTCTTCATGGAACCTTCTAGCATCTAAACTACCACAGTCTGCCCTGAATTGACTCTCCCTCCCAACCATCCCCAAAGCATCTGAGGTCAAGAGCTGCTGTCTTCTTGGTCCACCACTGTGTCCCCAGTACCCAGGAAATGGCAGCTGTTCAATGAATAGACGGATAAACTTTGAAGTACCTACTTCTGACTTCCCACCACCTTCTCTCAAATTTTCAAGCAAAAATGGTAGCAGCATTCTGTCCAGAACTCTGGGCTCACATTAGTGCTTCTGTTTCTTTAACATTTTTGCTTGAGGCTTTCTCTTCTTATTCTCTTTCTGGATCTGTGGTGCATATCTGAAAGGAGAAGGCTAGCCCAAGAACAATCAGGGTTTGTCAAGGCTAGCCGAAGCCAATTTGATCAACACTCTTTGGAGCTCACATACAGATACAGAAGCCACTGGAGTGCAGCAGAGCCTGTCCTCTACAAATGGAGTCTGCCTTTTAGAGCTCATCGAAAGATCAAAAGGAAACCGACAACCAGAAGGTCAATTTATAGATTCAACCGTTAAATCAAGACATATCCTCAAGCACCTGGGACATGAACCTGATATTAAATCAAAGACTTAATCTAAGTTAAACCACCTTAGTTAAGAAGCTAGAGCTAGAGACTTGTAATTAACAACAGTCTGCCCAGCCCTCACTGAGCCAGCTGAGAGGTGCCATGCCTGGACAACCTTGTTACTGCCATGGGGGCTTTAGGGAGGCTCACCTTCAGTTATAGAGGTTGTGACTGGCCTCTCCGCTCTTGACCTCTTTTCTCTCTCTCTCTCTCTCTCTCTCTCTCTCTCTCTCTCTCTCTCTCTCTCTCTCTCTCTCTCTTTCTCTCTCTCTCTCTCTCTCTCTCGACTCATCCTGGGCTCCATTCACTTCAGCAACTTGGGTCTCTTGTCCTCTTCTCAAACTCATCAAGGGCACTTGCAGTTGAAGGTCCTTTGTACCTTCTTACCCCATGTTTCTTTTTCTTGCTGTTGTGACAGAATACCTGACAAGAGAGACTTAAGGTAGAAAAGGTTTTCTGTGACTCACAGTATAAGATTTAGTCCATCATGGCATGGAAGTAAATGTGGCTAGACCCTGAGGCAGCTGGTCACATGACACCAAAAATCAGGAAGCAGAGAGATGCTTTCAATGGCTCAGCATGTCACCTTGAAACAAGCTAGAGTTTCCATCTAAAGGAGGGAACCTCAATTGAGAGAATGCCTCCACATGGTTGTACCTAAGTCTATCATTTTCTTAACTAGTGATTGATGTGGGAGGTCTCAGTCCATTGTGGATAGGGCTACCCCAGCTTGGTGGTCTTAATTTCTATAAAAGAGCAGGCTGAACAAGCCATGTGAAGCAAGCCAGTAAGCAGCTCTCCCTCTGTGGCCTCTGCATCAGCTCATGTCTTTGAATTTCTGCCCTGACTTCCTTCGATGATGAACAGTAATGTGGAAATATAAGTCAACTAAACCTTTCCTCTCCAAGTTGCTTTTGATCATAGTGTTTCATTACAGCAATAGTAACCCTAACTAGGACAGCTCCCTCTTTCCATTTTTTATAGTCCTGAATCCCTGGCTCAGGAACCAATTCCACCGACAATTAAGAAGGGTTTTCAAAATTAATTAATGTAACCAAGATAATCTCCCACGGGCATGTCCAGGGGCCCATCTCCAAGGTGATTCTAGATTCTTTCAAGATGACAGTTATCACCAACCATCACATATACACACACATACACCACACACATGCATACTCACATGCCCCAAAACTTGCCTTTCAGTTTGTCTCAAATGTTAACTCTCTCATACCCTATTTAATTCTGTGAGTCCCTTTAATAATCTTACTGCATTCTCCAAATTTCATGTATTGGAAACCTGGTCCTCATTACAGTGGTGCTGAGAGGTGGGGCTTTGGAGAGGTGACCACGTCAAGAAAATACTCTCAGAAGTGGATCTGGCAGCTCATGGATTAATGATCAATGAGCTAGCCTGATAACAGCTAACCCCTGTAACAGGCTTGTTTGGTACTGCCTTTAGTACCCTCTGTCATGGTATGTATGATACAGCAAAGGATACCTTCAGCAGAGACACAGCCACACTCTTGGACTCTAAGCCTTCAGAACCATAACATAAATATACCTATTATCCGTAAGTCACTGAATCATGGCATAAAGTGATAACAGAAAGTGGAATAGGACAGTCCCTGCCATTGCTGCCACTTGCTTACACCGTTTCTGCTCATCCCACTGACTGCACCCCTGCACCCTGTTTCTCTCATTCACTCACTCTCTTTGCCTCACCACTATGTGTGCCTTATGGAGACAGTAATTCCACCTCTTCATCCAGTGCCCTGTCCCCACTCACCAAGAAGTGTCTGGCTTATACTAGGCACTTGATGCCTAATCACTTAACTAAGTAATCAGTTAGCCAAATGATTGATTCAATGCTCAATTAAATGGCTAGCTAACTAATTCAACATGTGTCAGTGGCCCTGTATGCCCACCTGGCTAATAAACCCCATCAAAACCAAGGCTGGAAGGCTGGGACTATAGCTCAGTGATAGAATATTTGCCTAGCATAGAGAAGATTCTAGGTTGATTACTTGGGTTACTGAGACCAATAAGGTCCTCTAGACAAGCAAGTCATGACCCCTGGTATCT